TCGACCACTGGTTGCCGTAGCCCATATATAAGGTCAGTTTGAGCAGGAAAATTGAAGGTGGCTAAGAAGAGATAGATATCGTCTGGCCAATGAAAAGTAGATTTGTCTCACTAATGATGATTTGTGATCGCTGGAAGTGCTACTGCGTCGTAAAGTGTTTTCCTGAACGATCTGATACGGGATACATTCATTGGCACTATTGATTCAGACACCATTTGTTGGACTATTAAGTTTAATAACTTGACTCGTGGGTACCTAAATGTTTAGTATTTTAATATTAATTTAATGCAAATGTATGCATACCCAATAATATTAAACAGAAAATCTTTTGTAACTAATATACAATGTTGCGGCTCGGTAAATACGTCGACACTGAAATGAAAATCAGTCTAGCATAGGGAAAATTGGGGAATTACACCGCAAAATGGTGAATTGTGCAGCAGCGTTATTGTGAATCGGCATAAATTGAGCCAGCATAAACCGAGGGCTACTTGTATTGCACTCACTTTTTACTCACTTATTCTGTATTTCAACTCACTTTTCTCACTTTTTCAGAGGGGAAATGGCACTCCCAGGCCTGTAATGATATGTTCATATTTTATTTAAGCGGTTAATGTTCTATTGTGTCTGCTATATTGTTCCATAATGTCACAACCATTCTTGCTTTCTATTATCTATTTATGTTCTATCAATGTTCAAATTTGTGACAATAGAAAAATTAAGCTGTTTTTAACTTAATTTTCTGGGTTTTTTTGTGATATAAAAACAATTTTTTTTGTTTTGTTTTTGCATTACTTTTTTGCAAATGGGAACGGTACTTAGTCTATTACAAGTTCACACTTAATGTAAACAAACCAACTACCAAGCAATTTTAGTTTTACTCCACCAAAATAATTTGATTGATTTTCTTTAACCAGCAATTATTATGTTAAACAAAGTCATATTTTTAACTTTGATTATACATTTAAAATAATTTTTATATTTTAAGTGATGCTAATTCATTAAATACTGAAATGTTATGTATGTAAATCTCATAATAAATTTGAAAGAGGTGTAAAATGAAATATAACAAATACTGAATATATTCATAACAAACAATCATTATTGGCTCCTTGTTGATCAAAAATATTATGTTTTGCAAACTTGTGAATTTACAAATGATAACTTTTTCTTGTCTTAAACTACTTAAAACATAGATAAAAACTCTAGAAGACAAAATTTCAAAAAATGATACAGTAGAGCGTCGTTTATCCAAAACGTCGGTTATCCGAAAGCATTCGGCAAATTTAAATTTTTGCTAGTGCTGTGGCGCTACAATCTTTGGCTATATCTTGGGCTACTTTAATATTTTTTTGTGGGTGTGTTTATTTTAACTGGCAGCACTGGCACTTTTGTGTGGTATTTTTCTGAGGACTGTGTGTCATGCTGAATCAAACGTTTTTGATACTAGCTAGATCAACTTCTAAAGTATTTTTTTTTTTTTTTTTTTGGTTTTTATATTTTTCAATATATTTATTTTAGTTGTACAAAATAAAAAAATAATTTTTAACGATACAGTAGCCATGATTATTATTTTAAAAAGTTTTTGTTAGGCTTAACATCAATGAAAATTTCAACACGGGATAGGTTAATATATTTTTTGTACATAATCGGTTATCTGAACAACCCCAGTCCCCAATTGATTCGGATAAACGACGCTCTACTGTATTCATTTTTATCTCTTAAAACACTTTATTATTTTTTCTTGGTAAAATCTTTGTATTTTGTCAAGAAGTTTATTATTATTATAATATCTTTATCAGTCATTAGCAGGGAGTCATCTGCTCTGAAAACTTTTGTTCATTATGTTGTTATTTTATTTTATTCATATTATATATATAAAATATACCTATTATATCAAAATAATAATTGCATTTTATTATTTAATTATGATTAAGAATACAAATTTTTAAAAATAACATTGTAGATGAAAACTATGATCTTCATTGATGAAAAAGGATTTGGTTTAATTTGTATTAGACGTGTCTGGAAAGTTATTCTAAACTTTATTAATAATGTATAGTTTTTCAGATAAATAATAATTTTCTGTGTAATATTTATATTTACACAGTGAATTTTCCTGTGTCATATTCTTTAGAATCAAATTATTTGGAAATATATTATGTGGAGAAATCAGTTACAGTTAGGTTCATGTTCAACTGATGTTTAAATTAGACCAATTAGAACACAAAGTGGCATGTATTTTTGTTTGCATTAGATGCTAATTTATTTGAAACAGACTATAGTTCTTTACAGTAAATATGACCTAAATAATTACTTCTCAAACTTCTATTAAATAATAATGTATTGATTTTAAAATTTTTTCTATTTAATGTTTCTTTTCCTGGATTTTTAATTTCATTTATTTTATAATTATATCTAAATGAACTACTAATAGAAGTGAAGTAAAAGATAGAGGAAAAAATGAAATGTTTGAGATGATATTTTCTAAAATATATTTCAGTAAGCATTGTATTGTCAATGTTACTTTGGAGATATAGAGTATACACTGTGAATTATGCAAAATATTTCAGTTCTAGTAATTTTCTAAACTTGTAAGTTTTAAGCTTCCATGGATTAGCTGCATGAGAAGATGGTATATAGCTTTTATTTAAAGTATTTACAAAAGTTTAATATTAATTTCAATTATAATGAGATTATCTAAATTATTTTTTATAAGGCTGAACATCGAACAATGGCTGCTTTTGTTATGTCTTGTATTGTGCATAATTATCCTTCAGGACAGGTAAGGATATAATCAATTTTTTTTTTTCATTAATATCATAGTATGATAAAGTTAGTTTATATATTTTTAGATGCAAATATTAAATTTTAATATAATTGTAAAATAGTTTAATAATTTATATCTTAATTTTTATTTCATTTAAAATTAAATAAAGATATTTTATTATTATTTTTTAACAAACAAATCACAGATCTCAAAACTGTATTTAATATTTATATTTAAAATATAATGATAAAATGCTGTTAACTAATTTTAATTTTTGTATTTCTGTTTACATTAGATGCTAATATTTAAAAATCAATAAAATTAAATTCATTTAAAACAGTTTTTAAAAATTTAAGAACCGATTAGCATATAATTAAATCTATTGTCATAAAGGGTATTTCCATTAATGATCTTATTTTTTTATCTTTTTGTTGTAAAGCATTACATATTTTTAATCCCTTTAAAATTCAAAATTTTATAGTAATTTTATGAGAATGTTACTTACACAGTAAAACCAATCTAAAACAGACTACAAGACAAATCTCGGAATGGAATGATTTCTTACATAAAATATTATTGTAAGGCAGAAATAGAAGACGTTTCAGGCACCAATTGCATAACATAATCTGATTAAAGCAGAATTTTTGAATGTAACTAGGCAAAACTCTAAATTAAAATTAATGCTGTAATTTATAGATATAGAATCATGGTTGACTTTTTGATTACTATTCTACAGTCTTAAAGAAAATAATGGTAGTTTCATTATCTGGAAAGTATCTATCAGGGCTGTGGAGTTTTGGTGTTTTAGCTGGAGTTGGAGTCGTCAAAAATCCGCCAACTCCGACTCCCTTTTACTTACTTACCAACTTGTTATGTATATGAAACAGAGTCGAATGGTAAGGAAAAGTCGGAGTTGGAGTCGGTAGATTTTTACGCAATTCTACAGCCCTGGTATCTATCCAATAAAGTACAGTAGAGCCTCGATTATCCGACTCAATTGGGAACTGGGGATGTTCGGATAATTGAAAAGTCGGATAACCGAAAAGTATGAAAAAATCCATTATTAGTGTAGTATATTATTATATCCCATGTAATTAGTATATTAGTATATCGCCATTAACCTACTTCGTGTTGAATTTTCATCGATGTTAAGCCTAACAAAAATTTTTTAAAATAATAATCGTCGCTATTGTATCGTTAAAAATTAGAAAATTAAGCCTCGTTTAAATACTGGCTCCCTTTCATGGTCGAATGAGTGTTGCCAGCTAAAACACATAAAAATAATATTAAAGTAGCCAAGACATAGCCAAATATTGTAGCGCCACATCACTAGCGGACAATTGAAATTTGCCAACTAGAACGGTCGGTTAATCGGGGGTCGGATAATCGAGGCTCTACTGTAATACAATTTCTTCTAAAGAGTATTAGATGAGTTAATGAATATTTTAAAAAATATGAACATTTTTGCCAAAAGAAATGTAATGTATGCTATAGGTAAATAGGATAAAATTAATTTGACTTATATCTATTTTTTGTAAATAAAATCGAATGATTATGGCTATACATTTTAGGATGAAATTTTTTCACTCTTCATATTAACTAGGCAAAAGAAGTAACCAGTATCACCTTGAAAAAGTTTATATACTCATATGTATATATATTGTTATTAATAATTTATTATATTATAATATTGCAATGCATGTTGTTTTTTCCATTTTTCCATATAATTAATTCAAATAGAGTTCTTGTAGTTGAATTTTTATTTTAGATAATTTAGTGATCATTTTACTGAGAAATGTAATTATTCTTAATATATTTCATTTTATAAAGACTACTAATTTTTATTTTTATTTTTGAAATAATTTTATAATTATATTAAATTTAGTCCAAATTTTAAAATAAATATATAGGAGGCTGCTATGCAAGGAAATCTAATAGCAATATGTTTAGAGCAAATTAATGATCCCAATCCCCTTTTAAGACAATGGTTAGCAATATGTTTGGGAAGAACATGGTCCAATTATGATGCTGCCCGTTGGTGTGGTGTTAGAGATTCAGCACATGAAAAACTATACACATTACTATCTGATCCTGTTCCTGAGGTAAATAAATTCTGTAATTAAAATTAATTTTATTTTAGAGTTATTTCATATTAAATTTTTTACTAGGTAAGGACGGCAGCTGTTTATGCACTGGGAACATTCATTAACAGTTCAACAGAACGATCAGATCATGCAAATTCTATTGATCATAGTGTTGGAATCACTCTTATTAATTCTGTACTTAATGATGGTTCACCTATTGTTAGAAAAGTAATGAAATATAAAATACTAAATTTATTTAAATATGAAAGATTCTATTTAATAATTTTTGAATTCTCCTGAAAGGAATTAGTAGTGGCACTTCAGTGGCTTGTTTTGGTATTTGAAAATCAATTTGTTGCAGTAGCTTATCAGTTTTTAGAAGAGGAAAAAGTAAGAGATACTATTCAGAGTAGTAATCCTGTTTTACCGCCAAATACTGGTAATTTCTTTTAGGTAATTCTAATATATTATGTTTTCATTAATATCATTTCAACTTCAATAGCTTTTATATTTTAGAAATTTTACAATCAACTAATCTACGTAAAGTAGCATCTAGAGATCGTCTGAAAGTTCCACCTTCTCCATTACCTGGTAAGCATTTCAAATATTATTTAGATATAAGTTTCACTCTTCTGTTGTTGAATGAATACATTCTAAAAGATTTCTTTCTTAATCAAAAATTTTTTTGATGTAAATTATTGAATAGATATAGATTTAAAGATAATGATTGCTTTTTATGTTAATTGGAATATATTTTTCTGCATAAATTAATTAAAAATTTTTTATATTATGTTATGGAAATTTAAAGTTATTTTCATAAAATTCATAAAGTATATTCCCTATTAAATAAATTTAGCAACTCACCACATGTTACTAATTGTGACATTAAAAAGAATAAAATTAGAAGAAAGAATAAAATATTTTTAAGTATTTTAATGGTCTAATACATAATTACTGGTTTAAACTAAGAATACTCAATAGGAGAACACATAATGCAACAAGTATGTACACTCTTTATTATCATGCAATGTTCCACAAATCATACTTTTATCGTTACATTTCACATTCTAGACCAGTAGAACATATTCTACATTATGATTTTATACAATGTAAGAGATCATATCATTGTATTTTATATAATATGTAAGTGACCAGTAATATAATGCACTTGTTTTATTTTTTAATAAGTTTTTAATATAAATTCTTAAATTTATTTATATTTTTATAATATTTGATATTATTTATTTATATGTCTTTTGTATAACTCATTGGTTAAGTTTAACTACATTTTATAATTTATATTAGAGAAGTTGAGGCGCACGTTTTAAATGTGTAAACGTGTATGTGTGACGTTCGGCGCCGCTTTCCCGTAAGCCTAAAAGTTTGACAATGGGGTTTGGATAGTCGGTGGAATCACGCTCGACATTCCAAACACCATCGTCAAACTTTTAGGCTTACGGGAAAGCGGCGCCGAACGTCACACGTACACGTTTATACGTTTAAAACGTGCGCCTCAACCTCTCTATTTTTTTACACATGTATGTTCATTTTTATTTATCACTATTATTTCATTGTATGATTTGGGTTAATCATTAGGGAGTGGAAATAATTGTTGTAAGACGGTTCTAATTATATGTAAAATAAATACATAAATAATAATAAATTTTTTTAATATTGTTTGTAAATTCAATTTATGGTATTTATGTACTTTCAAGTAATATATTAGAATAATGCTTACTTTAGATGAATGGTTGATATTTGCAAGTCTAAGTTTTTTAAGTATTAAGTGATGAAAGTTATTTGTGTTGTTACAAGTTTAGAATTTTTGCATATAATTGTTGTAATTAGGATTGCTATTTGAATGTACTAAATTATTTTAGTAAAGAATTTCCAAGACATTTCACGATTCTGTAATAGTATCAAGAATAAAGATTCACAAATCACAATCATGAAGCATACAGTTGCCCCTTGCTTAATGCAGGATTTGATTAAAGTGCAAAATTAATTACAAAAATCCCATTATATATGCAGTGAAAGTTTTAATTAATGTGACATTTCTTGCTGTCTTTACTTAACATAAATACTGTATTTGATTAATGCGATTTTGATATATGTGGTAGCATCAAGGGATTAATTAACCACATTAATCAAGGGATACCTGTATATCATTTTATTTTGCATTCTTTTTATGATTATGTATTGGATTGTTCGGAAAGTAAGTTCGTTTTTTTTACCACTAGACGGATTAGTGGTATCTTTTCCGCCATTTTCGTTCTAAACCATATTATCATTATATATTTTGACAGCTAGCATTTTATGGCTTATTTGTAAAAAATTTTGTTTGATTTCGTGCAATTGTTTATTTTTTGTGTCCCATCAAATATGGAAGATCGAAAGCAGCATCTTCGGCATATTTTGCTTTTTTATTACCAAAAAAATAAAAATGCTGTTCAAGCAAGAAAAAAATTGTGTGACATGTATGGTGGAGATGTGTTGACAGAATGACAGTGCCAAAAAAACTGGTTTACAAAATTTCGTTCTTGCAATTTCAGTATTGAAGATGCACCATGTTATGGATGGCCAATTGAAGCCAATGAAAACAAAATAAAAGTGCTGATTGAAGCAAACTGCGGAATAACAACACATGAAATCACTAAGAGATTAAATTTGTCAAATTGAACTGTTTGAGTAATTGAAACAAATTGGTTTCGTTTCAAAGCTCGATATATGAATTCCACGAGTTCTTAAAGAGAAATGCTCTATTTGGTGGGATATTAAGGAAATTTTTTTTTGGAGCTTTTACCAGACAATTTAACAATTGATTCGAAAATGTACTGCATTCGAGTAAACAAATTGCATAATATCATCAAACAGAAAAAGCCAGCCAGAATTGATAAAAAAACAGCTGTAGTGTTTTACCACAATAATGTCAAATTTCACACAAGTTTGGTAACTCGTCAGAAACTGTTATAACTTAGATGGGACGTGCTATCACACCGTATTCACCAGATCGAGCACACTCAGATTATCACTTGTTCCGGTCTGTACAATTTTTTTTAACTGTAAGACATTTACTTGAAATGACAATGTCAAAAATCACTTGGATTGGTTTTTTGTAAGCAACGACCAAAACTTTTATGAATGTGAAATCGTGCTACTACCAGAAACGATGACAACGGGTATTTGACCAAAATGGTCAACATATAATTCAATAAAATATTTATTTATCATAAGAATATTGTGTTTTTTTCCACGGGGAAAAAACGAACTTACTTTCTGAACAACCCAATATTTTAGCACATTATCCTTCTCAGGTAGGTATTACATTATATTGTTTTCATAATAATTTACAGAATACAATATAAATTATCAGTATGTGTGTTGTTGCAATAAAAGTACATACTAATTCAATTAATGTACTACTGTGATCAAAAAGTATCGGTATTGGTTCATTTAAACTGTGGCATGCAAGAGAGTGCTGTCATTGCTTTTTTGTCATTTGGCACAATTTTCATCTATATCTAGCAGTAATCCATATGCATTGTCTGCTTTCATTTGCAACTAAATGCTTGGTTTGTGTCTCTGTAATTTTTCAACATGTTAACTGTGATTGAGCAAGGTATGTGCATTAAATTTTATTTTTTTAATGGAATTACTGCTACATAAATGTTAGAAATGTTGCAAGAAGCCTTTGGTGACAATAATTTATCAAAAACAAGAGTTTTTGAGTGGTACAAGATTTTCAAGGAAGGCAGAGAACGTGTCAAAGATTAACCATGCTCTGGTAGATGATCCACTTCAACTGATGAATGTGTCACTCAAGTCAGGGATTTGATCTCAATGGTTGTCATTTAACAATAGGGATATTATTGAACATTTTCCATTATCATTTGGATCTTGTTAAGCAATTTTAAAAGATCATTTGTACTTGTGCATGTTGCTTCTTGTCATCCTGAGAATGTTGATTTTTCCAAAAATGTGTTCAAGTGGCTAAGGAAATGCTTTTTCAAGGAGGCAAATCATTCTTAAAATGTATCATTATAGGTAATGAAACATGGATCTATAATTTTAATGTTGAAACAGCTAAACAATAAAGTGAATGGTGCTCAAAAGGTGAAGCGAGACTGAAAAGACCACATTAAAGTCAGTAAAAATTAGTCATATTGACTGTTTTCTTCAATTGTCATGGTGTTGTGCATTGCATATTTTTTCCAAACTGTCAACAAAGAATATTATTTGGGTATTTTGCATCATTTGCATGAAGCAATTTGTAGAAAACAACCTGATGTGTAATGAAAAAACTCGTGGATTTTACACCCTCTCACAATGCTCTTGTTGCCAAAAATTCAACAAATACAGTTCCACAAACTCTGTAGTTACCTAATATGGCACTGTTGACTTTCCTGTTTTTTCTACTAAAATTTTGAATGGTCAACATTTTGAATTAATTGAATGTTGAATGTCTATCTTTTTTAACACAATATGTCAATTTAAAAAACTTATTCTTAAAAATTTAGTTTTTTGTACTTAAATTAATTTAAGAATACTAAAAAGTAAGTGTCTACCATACAGTTAATTTACTATGGCTGGTAACACAGTTTGTTATGGCCACAGTAAAATGATTGGAGAAATTTCTGTGACCATAGTAGTGTGGCATTTAAATTATCAGATTCTCACTATTTATTACAAATGACTCATCAGTTCGAGTTTTTACAAGTTTAAAGTCATAAGAATATTATTAGGATAAGTAACATGAAATTGTGTTATTGCTATGAAATCATAGGTTTTCTTTATCTTGTTTAACTCAACAGATCTTAAAAACAATTTTGTATATGCATAGAATTTTACATTTGTCAGGACATGGAACTGACACCAAGCAGGCTACTGTATTTACAAGTTAAACAGTTATTTATTGCATTAAACTTGTTTAAAATGTTTATTAAATTTTCTGAAAAATTCAAAGTTTATTTTCAGAATATTATCAACGAAAAAGGAAATATAGAGAAGCAACACTCAATAGCATTTTCTAGAACTGTAGACTACAATGTCTGTCATGGACTGGAGGGAAACAACTTTTGAATTTGTTTGAAATGCTTTAGAAATGTAATGCAGAGATTGAGATTGATGACTTAAACATAACAGGACAAAGCATTCCCATATATATACATAAATATGTGGAGAATTATCACAATGAAAATGTTGGAGAAATGTATTTACAATATGTGTTAATTGAAAAATATCTTACAAGCTTACAAGAATAAAATAATTAACTATCAAGTGTAGCAAAAAATAAGTTTGATTAATGTAATGGTATTATAAAAAGATTACTGCATAGAAAGCATCTTACAGAATTCTTAACCTGAAGATGGTCTTTTAATAAGACTGAAAATGTTTGTTAGTAAATACTATTTTGCTGCCTAAAAGGTTTTTCAGTGTATCAGTAATGCTATTGTTATGCAGTATTTTATTTTGATAAAATTGTAAATAAATAAATTTTATATTAATATCCATTAATTGATGCAGTTTATTTACATCATAATAATACAATCAAATTTACCTTTGGGATGACAACCAATTTGACATCATTTTATGATTGGAGCTTTGTCAATGAATGACATGGGAGTGAGGAGGTTAAAAATGTGCAATTTTATCATGACATCATTTATGGACGATCTCTTGTACTATATAATCATACTGGTTAAATGTTATTATATAACAAATATTTTATTCTAAAGGTTTAATTCCAATAATTTTAGATAATCTCTAGGTCATGATAGTGTAAACAAGATATTTTAGGAATAAGTAGTAAAATATTTTAATCTTTAAAAAAAGAATGGATAAATTTGCTACTTTAAAATGAAGAAAAAATAATAATACATGTATTGTACAGGATGTTCCACTTAAAATCAGTCCAACTGAGATAGTGAAATATTAGTGGTGTAAATTTTATAGGGAATATTTAAAAGGAAAAAGGTGAGTGACAATCCTAGAACTATAAATGAACCAAAGAAAAGCATTTGCAGATACATTGAAGCTTTAACATCAGTATTTTATAGAAGGTCAATCTAAACACAACAATGTACAGTACATAGATGTACAAGGACACCACTTTCAGCATCTGTAAGTTTCTTTTACATTTAAATAATGTTAAAATAAAGTTTCTAATGAGTGTCCTTTGCCTAAGTTCATTTTTATTGTTTCTAATGATTGGAGTCAATTTTATGTGAGACATCCTGTATTTTATTTTGTCAAATTTAATAGTAATAAAATTAGTAACCAAATCAGTAACCACTGTAAAATGTTATCAATTTAGTTTTTTTAGTTTTAGTTCTGCTACTGTAATAAATCTGTTGTTTTTATAGTATATTATGTAAAATTAAATTGCATTTCATAAAATAATAATTTTTAGAAGAAATTTGAATTTAGAACTTTCTGGTGTCTTCAGACAATGTATTAGTATTTGAAATCTGTATATGAGTTGGTTTAGTTATTTTATAAAGAAATTTTTAATTTGATTTACAGTGCAACTTTGATTTATGTGATTTATGATGATTTATGAGCATATCTCATTTCCATGAAAAAAACAACTGTTGTAAAGTTTTTCCCATATTTCTTAAGGTAAAAATTTGTATTTCATTTTAGTATAATCCAGTCACCCTGCCAATATTCCCAAATAGCATTAAAGTGACACAAAAATGCCTATTTATCTATCAACCAATGATTTTAAATGAAATAAAATAAAATAAATAAAATGAAATTGTTGATAATCAAGTTAATCATTAATATGAAAGGAACTAATATAAAATGAAAGAAGTGAATACAGAATAAGAGAAGTAAGCTCCTAAGTTATCAAACATGTCTTCATTTAATGATAAGAAAATAAAAGTCAGTTAAGATAATAAGTAAATAGAAAAAGAAGTAAACAAGTAAAATAAATCATTTTATACTATTAGGAAAATAAAATTATTTTTCAATCAATAAAATTGTAATTGCCAGCAAGAGAGTTTCTAATATAGAGATAAAGTCTACTAAACTGCACAGCCACATTAGAACGAACAGTACTACTACTTACAAATACACAGTATGAATGAAACAAAGAAAATTGAAACTGAAATCTACAAGTCATTAATCATAGAAATTTCAATTTTGTTGTACTTATGATTAGAATATCTTGTTCTTGTAAATATTGGTCATTTCTTTCTATCAAATATTTTTTTCTCATAAATAAAAAAAGAGGAATAAAACAAAGGAGCTCATTACATCAAATATTTATATATCAAGTACTCATAAATCAGGGTGGCACTGTACTAGTAATGCAAAGTATATAAATTTAAAAATTTAATTTAAAAGTTAATGCTATTAAGTAAATTTTAGTTTATAATTTGAAATAATAAAAATGACTGAAATTAACATGTGTTTTGATAAAATTTTATTTAATTTAGGAAATCCTGCTTTAAGCTTAGATTTATTAAGCCATGTTGATGGCCGATTAGCAACACCAGCCAGTGATCGTATTAGAAGAGTAAACTCTAGTACATCTTTAAGTAGTTTAAGTGTAAATACCAATGTAGGAAGTAGTTATACTAGTGTTTATACAAATATTTGGAGAGCACTTTTAATACTAAATAATGATCCTCATCCAGAAGTTGCTAATATGGCTAACCGTGCAATTAGTTCAATTAAAAGCAAAGTAAGTGTGTATTATGGTATATATTTTTTATATTTACTATAGTATTTTTATTTTATAATTTTATATAGGAAGTCCATAAAAAGAAATTATAGTTTATTTTAAATATGTTATAGTTATTTTTATAACATAAAACATTATGCCTATTAGATACTTTTTCCATACTTCTTGCAAAATATCATTTTTGTATGATGATGATTTTGATTTTCATTGTAGACTTTATCTGCTTTTTCACTATTCTTTAGTGTCTAGATGTAGATAATGAATTTCTTGTTATGATCAATTAACGTGAAATAAATGTTACTTTATACATTGATGATCATTTTCATAAAGATATACTAATAATGATTTATTTTATTTATATATTTTATTCTCCAAAATATGATGATTGATGATGATGATAATAGGGAATTGGGTTATATTTTACAATCCTACAATCTTCTCTATGTCACAAGCAATCTCTGGTCTACATATGAGACCTAGGTAAAAAAAAAAAAATGGCAAGGCACATGAACAAAAGTACCCCTTCATGTTTTCTCACCAAGATCATCAGCACCTTTTTATGAAACAAACCATCTGCATCTAATGTAACATATATGTTTAAACAACAATTGAGTAAAAATAACATAGGTGATTAAAACAACAAAGCACTCAAAATACACTTACTGCATGACTCACGATCATTTGTCAATTCCTTAAAAATGCAGCAGAAGTGCTTTTGATAGGATCATCTTCTTCAGCATTCCTCTTTTTGCCTTTTGGTGCTGCAGGCACACTTTCTGACTCCTCCTAAACTGGTTTCCTTCCATAATTAAGATTCACATTTACTATATGTTGTAATAAAATATGAAACCTTTTACCTGGACTAATTTTAGACCATTTCATCAACTTCTTGTACATAAAAAAATACAAATATGAGTCAGAAAGTTCTTCAACAAAATGCTTAGAAACATTTTTACAGTCCTTTAGATACAACCGCAAATGCTCTATCCTTTGAGTATGAACTCCAGTTTCAGGATCAACAAAATGCTCAGCATGTTTGGCTGTTTTATGGCCAATTTTGTGACTCTCCAAATCATCTGTGTGTAAATATCCTTTCCACTCATCCATGTAAACTATCGTCAGGATGAACAAACTTACGTGGTATATACAACCCAATTTAACATCTCTTCAGACCCAACATTAATGTGAGTGACAAAACAGGTACCATCTTCTCAGCAAACACTTCCCACTGCTCAATAGGTTCCTTTCATTTCTTACCCTTCTCATATTTTCTTTTACAAAGTACTCTCTCATCAATTTCAACAGTCTTACACTGCCTATTTTCAAACTGGTCAAATTATGGAGGGCAACCATCATTATACAAAATTTAACCAATCCACAACAGTCCTGTCGCTAATACCTACAGTATTATAAGTTTTAGTCAAACTTCACTCCACACAAAATAAATGCCAAATAAAAAAAATCTCTCAATTCATATTACTGTGTTTACCTTTCATTTTCACTCGTATCACTTGGTTAAAGTTGACTGTCATAGTGAGAAAAAGTTCTGCTCTCCTTGACTTTTGGTCTTCTTAAAGATTTCACATTCCTGATTGGACATTCTGGTTGGTTGTGATCTCCATTTTCCTCTTTCTTGATTGGCCCCTAGTTTGTTGCCAGTCTATTCAGGATTAAATTCAGAGATCAGACACTAGTTGGAGATGTTTATTGGATTATTGTGATTTTTACTCATTGAGAGTTGAGCATTTTTCTCCTATTGTAAATATTAATGTTACCAGCTGCACTCACATGACATTTGGTTTTATTAAACATTCTATTTTTTCTGTTTTTTGCTATTATAGCATAAAATACTCAAATTCCCATTCTACTCTCTCACAAAACAACCTTTCTTACTATGTTCTATCGACTAAGAACATTTTTATATAAAACAAATTTCTCCTTTAAAACAGATTTTGGTTGAGGTTTTGGATTTTTGGACTCCAGTTGAGACCTCACAATACTATTGGTATTAGTTATTATTAGTGTTCTTGAAAATTATGGAAGAAGCTACAGAATTTTAATAATGAAAGCATAAATAACTCAAAACTTGTAAAAGCTTATAACTTTTGATAGATTGAGTTTAGCTTGTAACACTTTGTAGACCATCTTTTATATAAAATACTGATGATATTCAGAGTTGGATAATTTGAACAGTCTCAGAAAATTTGGAATAAATTAGTTTATTCAAATTCTAAAGAATAATATTTTGTTTTTAAGTGATATATAAGGGTATGTCCTATGTGACAGCAACTGCAAGTGGAAAGAATCTTTGTAAGCACTTCCATCTCATGAGCGACTTCTGTCTAGAGTGGATGCTTGTCATTTACAGAATGGCAATGTGATGACTGTTGAATGCTTGCTATGGAAAATATGACAAACATTAAAACAGTAAATTTGAAAGGTAAATGAAAGGACTAGCTAGATACATCTAAATATATAAAATTACTTGTCCTGACTGACTGACTGATTCATCATCACCTAGAGCAAACCATTGAACCTAAAGACGTGAAATTTTGTACACAGTTAAGATACATCATAAAAACACACACTAAGAAGGGATTTTTCGAAATTCCCCTGCAGGGGACAGGGAGAGCATTAAGGCTTAACCTGAAGAACAGCTTCTACTGTACTATTTTAGATGTGATTTTTTGTTTTTAATTACATTTAGTCTTCATTGAGTACTTAGGGGTATTAAATTGATAACATTTCAGACATTGTTATAAATATTTTTTATATATTTCGATTTTTTAACCAAATGTTCAAACCGTTTTAAATTTGAATTTCTTTTTTGCATATTGGTTCGATTATAGAGTGATTGTATAGAGCGAAAATTGATCAAATTAAAAACAGTTTGTTTGATTCTCAGCAATTCTCATCATTCTCAGTGGTNAGATCCGTTTCAGGTTCCATTATGAACTCTTCGATGTTCTATATTTCTCAGATGTGATTTTTGTTACTCGTTTAGCTGCTTGAATCTTCTTGATTATACAGTATTTTTCTTAAAAAAATGAACTGCAGCCTACTGTAGACTTATAACGCCATACTGCCCAGCAACATTAGGCATCTTCTGCCAACTCTTTACCTTTGCTATTATATTCTCACCTTACAAAAAAAAACAGACGCAGAACTTAACGAGTGCCTACCCGACAGTCTCACGAATACATAAAAGAATTATTTTCTCATAAAAATAAAAGGCTGGAATTATAAGGGAGAGTTTTAAAGTTCGGAGGAATACTATCTGATCGGTATATACCGGCTTGAGCGTAGATTTCGACGTCTCCCACACTCCGAAAAGTTTCGAATTGTTGCCCGAAGACAAGGAAAGTCCAATTGGTATTCGTTATTTTACGTCGCTTCTTCTTGTGTTTGTTCTGTGGGGTGTTTGTTATCCGATCATGTATTCGTTGTCCGAACATAAAAATCTTTCACAAAAGTGTTCGTTATCCGATCTGTTCGTTAACCGATCACCCACTGTATATCATATGATGATGTCAAGTGAAATTAAATGAATTTATTTTAGATTCATAAGGTTAAATTTAAAGAAATAGTTATGGATTGATATAAATTAGTTGAACATGTTAAAATAAAATTTTATTTCTAAATTTATTATTCTTGAAAAATACTTCTCACAACTTTTTAATGATTTTTTTTTGTTTTCTTCACACCAGTAATTGGTTCTGTGTTCATTTCATTATTATGTATTTCCTAGTGTGATGTGTTGTAATTTACTGTTTAGTGATGCCGGATAAGAGAGAACTTTTTATTTAAAATATTATCATTAATTAGAATATTGAACATAATAAATAATTAATATCAATTATCTATACCTATTTAAAAATAAAAGTAATTTTAGGTACAGGTGTTACATGGAAGTGATGTAATTAAAAATGGCAAATCCATAACTTCATTATCATATTCTGAACCATCATCTCCATCTGGCAAACCAGGTTTCATATCGTAAGTATGCTAAATAGTTTATCAAAAATTATTTTTTATCATCAAAAGAATACAGTATTTAAGTAATATGAAGATTTAAGAACTATTTTAATTAATTTTGCTTGTACTGTATTTTTAAGCTGTAATTAGAACAAATAATCAAACTTTGTGTCAAGTACACATTTTCTAAGTTTTAAACTCTTAAAATTCAGAAACTGTGCAAATATTTTTGAGAATACTATTGCATTCCTAAAATTGGTATGGGCTCTTGTATGATTTTTTTGAGCACTCGGTCAGTTCTAACTGTCCTCATTTTAAGGACGGTAAAGTGACTTTAGAGTTGCCATCTGGCCGGCTTGACTGGTAATCTGTATTCTGTATATCTATATAAATTTTAAAAACAAAATGTTTCATTACTGCCATACACAAATAACATAAAAATTTTAAAATTAATTTGATTT